ATGACATGAAATAACTGAAAAGAGCGTTCCCGATGCAAACAACTCAGCAGTCGCTTCCAAAAACAGAATGGTTTCATCTGATGATAGCCTTATTGGACGTTGATCAAACGTTGCGGCTGTGCTCCAACTAACCAGAATTCTCCGTCATTCTCCAACACCAAATTCATCTCTTTTTTCTGTTTTCTCGAAACACCATCCCAAAGTTCACTATCGTCCGACCAGTCGCCATTCCACTCTTGTTCATTGCCCCATGGATTACGAATTCTCAGCAGTGGAACCTTTCCTTCTGGGGTATCCACCTGCAAAACAAAACGCCTGTGATCTAACAAGCATCATCGCATAAGAAATGCTTGAATTTTCGGCATAACCATACGAAAGAACTGACCATTCGCATACCGGTAATACTGTATGCGTGACCTTTCACAAGTCCATCACGTGTACGCGCCTCGAATTCCATTGGTGACGCCTAAAATCACTCATACATTAGCGATATAACAGAGGGAGTACGACTGAAATTAATGACGCATAGGATTGTTACGATATTCCTGTTACAGTGCAAAACCATCGGCATCACAACCGGATATTTTTGCCGATATTTTTGTTGAAGGCTATAATTCCGCCAACAATAGAATAGAAAAATGTATTTATTTATGGCGTCGAATGAGAAATTTTTCGATAGAAATATTACTCACCTCAATACTGCAACCGAACATTGAACCCATTTCAAAGCCACGGAACATCATTTGCAGAAGATTACGAGGTGGCTGATGGAGATCAACGAATTCAGTCAATCCTCCGGTCATATCTTCAAGTGCTTCTGATGTTGTGCCTCCCTTTAACGCCTCATAGCTGCCGTGTAACCTTCAAATGATTCAAGCTGATTTTTCAGCGTTCACTTCATATTCTCAAGTGCAAATATCAGCGGAATTGAGTCGATACGGTCATTTGCAGAAACATCCAGAATTCTACTCAAACTGATAGGTAAACAGGTTCAATGTCATCTTCTTCGGATGAATTCAGAGATCGATTTAAAAATTATGCACCCAAAGCTTGTTGTTTTAAATTAAGGTTATGAGGAATAGAAGTTGGCATGGGCAAATGAAAGGATCGATGCAATTCCGGCAAACGTACTTTGCGTACGCCTTCTCGAGCAGCGCACTCCAGAACTCGTTGTTCTCACGTGAATGCATATAAAGCAGTTTACCATCGGACGTCGGCAGTCTATCGTCAATTACCACATCGACCCAATCACCGTAATGCCAGAATTGGAAGTGGAAAATCCCTTAATTGCACATCATTTAAGCCATTCATTTCAAATAATGAACGTTGAACTATTAACTATTACTATTGCTGTTTACTTTGACCTTTTGCTACCTTTATGTTTGCTATTACGATTACTAGAACCATTACTGAACTTTTAAAATTAATCCCAAAAAAAATCTGATCGATCAACAACCGAATCGCAAATATTACTTCGATGGTACTTTAATCTATTGATGGAA